TCTTAAGGGCACACCTAGATTCTCTTAGTTCTTCTGCTTCTTGCCCTGGTCCATCAGCTGAGTCTTTGAACTGTATACATGTAAACAGTTCTTGTCATTCAAAATTCTTTTCCCCAAGAAAGTCTTTAGTTTCCCTTTAAGTCAGAGGATGAGAATAAGTACGTACTTATTAAGCAATTCCAAGTTCTATCTATAGACTAATCAGGACCTATGCTATATGTAGGAATTATGATTCATAAATGCAGTTGCTCCTTCCTTCCTCCCTCCTTTCTTTCCCAGAAACTATTCGCTTCCCTCCTATTCCCTTCCCTCCTATTTGCTAGGTCTACAATTAAGGAGAATTATAACCAGGTGAGCAGTAAGTAACACATGGATTGCATTTTTATGGTGTGAATGTAGTTTTTGTCTTCAGGAAGTAATGAGTAGCCACAGTTACATGCAAATCTGTCCGTTTGTCTGTCTACCACTTGTTTTTCCCTGCAGAGCTGTTATTCAGAAGGCATGTACTGGTATGACCATACTGGCTCTTTGTAGCCAGTCTCTGTCCTAATTAGTTGATACTAAACTGTTTGTAAAATCTTCTGAATACTCCAGTGTATATGTATTCACAGAATCACATATCTATCTTTAGATTTATAACTATCTCCATTAAAATAAGTTCATACATTCAGAGTAATATATTTTAGATTTTAGATTTGTGCACCCTGAACCATACAAAGAGAAACAAATGATCAGTGGCAATATTTGGAAACTTGAGAGCTTCTATGGCTTACCAGAGGGCACTGAGCTAATAACAGACATAATGAAGTCTGTAATCCACATCTGACCAATCTTTGGTTCATTTCTTCAGGTGCTCTCTGCTGTCTCTCAGTAATTTCCACCAGAGGTAGAAGTTTTAAAAAAGTTAAACATCTGAGGACATTTAGATAAACTGCCCTGTACCTTTTAATATGGCTCATCATTTTTATTTAAGCTTTGTTTCTCCTAACTGACCTTAGGATTTTACCTACACCTGATAACAGTGAATGTAAATTCTTTGGTGCAGGCTTTCCTTGTCTTGATGACAATTTCCTCATACTCCAGCTGCTTTCCCCAGCTTCCTCCAGCAACATTCCTAGCCTTCCCATTCAGTGGAAGTTCTCTTGTTAGCTAAATGTTTTCCATACCTGCTTAGTCATCATTCTCTCCTTGAATTCCCATGTCTATGTTTTTTCCCAAACAGAAGACATGAATACTTTCTTATTTTTCACAGTCTTTTCCATCCTAGTTCTCATTTGTTCCTTTTCATTATATATTTACTTCAAGCTTGCATATAATGGTTAAATCTGCTTATTTAACATTTTCTTTGCCGATGTGCCGTTCCTAAATTTTTGTAGCCTGTCTTTTACCATAGATTGATTTTGAAAGACATTTGAGACACAACATTGCAGTTTATTCCAGAAGTACCTTTTAAAAGTGCACTTAAGAAAATATAGGGGAATCAGCCAAGATGGCTGAATAGGAACAGCTCTGCAGCACAATTCCCAGCAAGAGCCAGAAGGCGAGTGATCACATTTCCAACTGAAGTACCAGGTTTATATCAATAGAATTGGTTGGACAGTGGGTGTAGCCCAAGGAGGGCAAACCGAGGCAGTGTGAGTTGCTGCCTCACCTGGGAAGTGCAACTAGCCAGAGGATGCCCCTCCCACCCAATGGAGGACATTGGGGACTTTTCCAGCCACCCTGGCACTCCAGTTCAGATCCTGTACTTCTCCTATGGTCTTTATGGTCTTTACAGCCTACAGACCAGATTTCTGCTGGGCCAATAAGAGCCATGGGTTTCCAGCACAGATGTGAGCCTCCGTTTTAGGTGGCACAGCGGGCTTTGGGCACAAATCTGAGTGGTCGTTTTGGCTGGTGCCTGGAACACCTGTGAGACAGAGCCTCCTGCTCCCCTGAAATAAGGGGAGCTGAAGGTAGGGAGCCAAGTGATCTAGCTCAGCAGCTCCCACCCCCACAAAGACCAGCAAACTGAAACCTTCTGGCTTGAGAGTTTTGCAGCCAGCACAGCAGCTTGAGCTTGACTTGGGATGGCCAAGCTTGGTGGGGGAAGGGCATCCGCCATTGCCGAGGCAGTTCCAGCTTTACCAGTGTAAACAAAAGCAGGACAAAGTTTACATGGAGCCCGTGGCAGCTCAGCAATGCCTGACAGGCAGACTGTAATTAGACTCCCTCCTTGCTGGGCAGGGCATCTCTGAAAAAAGGCAACAGCATGCCAGGGACTTATAAATAAAACCCCACCTTCCAGGGACAGAGAACCTGGGAAAAGGGGTGGTTGTGAGTTCCATTGCAGCAGACTTAAATGTCCCCGTCCAGCAGCCCTAAAGGGAGCAGCAGAGCTCCCAGCACAGAACTTGAGCTCTGATAAGGAACAGACTGCCTCCTCAAGTTGCTCCCTGACCCCTGTATATCCAAAAAGACACCTCATAAAGGAGAGCTCTGGCCAACATCTGACAGGTACCCTTCTGGGACAAAGCTACCATAGGAAAGAACAGGCAGCAATCCTTGCTGTTCTGCAGCCCCTACAGGTGATTCCCAGGCAAGCAGGGTCTGGAATGGACCTCCAGCAGTCTGCAGCAGAGGGGCCTGAATATTAGAAGGAAAACTAAAAAAACAGAAAGAAATAGCTTCAACATCAACAGAGAGGACATCCACTCAGAGACTCCATCTGAAAGTCACCAACTTCACAGATCAAAAGTAGACAAATCTACAAAGATAGGAAAAAACCAGTGCAAAAAGGATGAAATCACAAAAAACCAGAATGCCTCCCCACTCCAAGGGATCACAACTCCTCAAGAGCAAGAGAACAAAACTGGATGGAGAATGAGTTTGATGAATTGACAGGAGCAGGCTTCAGAAGGTAGGTAATAAGAAACTTCTCTGAGCTAAACAAACATGTTCTAACCCAATGCAAAGAAACTAAAAACATTGAAAAAAGGTTAGATGAATGGCTAACTAGAATAACCAGCTTAGAGAAGAACATAAATGACTTGATGGAGCTGAAAAACAGAGCCCGAGAACTTCACAAATCATACACAAGTTTCAATAGCTGAATTGATCAAGCAGAAGAAAGGATATCAGAGATTGAATATCAACTCAATGAAATAAAACGAGAAGGCAAGATTAGAGAAAAAAGAGTGAAAAGAAATGAACAAAGCCTCCAAGAAATATGGGATTATGTGAAAAGACCTAATCTGCGTTTGATCAGTGTACCTGAATATGATGGGGAGAATGAATCCAAGCTGGAAAACACTCTTCAGGACATTATCCAGGAGAAGTTCCCCAACCTAGCAAGCCAGGCCAACATTCAAGTCCAGGAAATACAGAGAACACTACAAAGTTACTCCTCAAGAAGAACAACCCCAAGGCACATAATCATCAGATCCACCAGGGTTGAGATGAAGAAAAAAATGCTAAGGGCAGCCAGAGAGAAAGATCAGGTTACCCACAAAAGGAAGCCCATCAGACTCACAGCGGATCTCTTGGTAGAAACCCTACAAGCCAGAAGAGAGTGGAAGCCAATGTTCAACATCCTTAAAGAAAAGAACTTTCAACCCAGAATTTCATATCTAGCTAAATTAAGCTTCATAAATGAAGGAGAAAGAAAATCCTTTATGGACAAGCAATCGCTGAGAGATTTCATCACCACCAGGCTTGCCTTACAAGAGCATTTAATCCTGTCAATAAACTTGTAAGTTAGATAATATTATTACCTCCATTTTAGAGTTTAGAAAATGGAATAACTTGATAATAATAACATAGCTTGTAAAGGAGCAAGAGTAGAGCCTGGATTTGAAGTAAGGCTGTTTAACAGTGGTTGTCTTTAATACCTTCAATGACTCCCACAGATGCAACAGTTCACGTTGCCAGTGCCAGTTTATAAAGATACATATTTTATCTAGACATTTGCTAAATACAGCAGTACAATTTATCAGGAATTGATATTGTTTCATCACACATCTAATAATGTAGCTGATTATAGAAGGAAAAGTGTAAAGGCTCTGTTTCCAAAGTCAACATTTGACTGTGGCCTTTCCCCTCCCCTCCAGCTCAATTTATGAAGCAAGAGTGTCACTGTGGTGCCACACATGTCAGAGGCAGAGCTTATGGAGCCACATCTAAGCTGCTTTGTTTAGTCTATGGGGCCTTTCATGATTTGGCCCTTGCCATCCCACCTGTCTTATCTACTGCCAACTCCACTGACCTTACATTGTGATTATACCCTCAACACCACTATTGTTACCAGATCTCTGTGTCACAAAAGGAAGAATAGCCTCTGTCCTTGTGCTGTTTCATTTGCCTGGGATGCCATTCTTCCTCTTATACACCTAGAAAACTGTCTACTTTCAAAACACAACTTTGTGAAACTATCTCCAGAATGCCTTCTCTAACCTTCCCCTAACTCTCTTTACTCCTACCCCCAGAGGCCCTATAAATTATATATTGAGACCCTATACTCAAATGCCCACTAAGCACTCTTCATCCATCCAGTTGGTATATATGGGGCCATTTTTTCCTACCTTTCCTCTCATTATTTGAGTTATGATCAAGAGGAGCTCTGAGGACAGTAAGATGGGAATGGAACCTGATATCACCCTGCTTTGTTTTTCAGCTTAATGCGTTGTTGAAAAATATTCAGCCTTTAAAGGTTTGGTTTTGTTCATGAGCAATTCAGATGTAAGTCCAAGTACTTGGAGTGAAGAGGTGAAAGTGACATACAGCTAGTGCTCGACTTACGACCACGATTGGGACTGGCAGACCGGTCGTAACACGATTTGGTCGTAAGTTGAGTAGGCTATATGTACAGTTGAAATGGTGCACGCGGAGATGGTAGTGCTGCCGGAAACTGGTCCACACTGTCATATGCCCAGCTGGGCGACGTTTGCACTGCCAGACGCAGAGCAGTCATGGCTAGCGATTGTGGTCGTAAAGTCAAATGGTCGTAAGTTGCATAGGTCGTAAGTCAATCAATACCTGTAGAAGCAACATGTTAAGTTCTGGGAGAGAAGACTGATGTTACTGGGATTTGTAGGGAAGCAATGACTAGCTGAGTTGAGCTGCTCTCTGGGGTGTCCAGGAGAGTTTATTAGTTTATAGGGACCCTTGATGGGAAAATGGCTCTGCATGGGGGCCATGGTCTGAATGTTTATATCTCCCTAAAATTCAGATGTTAAAAACCTTATCACTGATGTGATGCTATTTGGAGGTGGGAACTTTGAGAGGTGTTCAGGTCATGAGAGTGCAGCCTTCATGATGGGATTAATAGTCTTATGAAAGAGACCCTGGAGAGCTCCCTCAGCCCTTCCACCTTGTGAGGACACAGTGAGAAGGCACCATCTATGAAACAGGAAATTGGCCTTCACCAGGCACCACATCTATCAGTGCTTTGATCTTGGACTTCCCAGCCTCCAGTATAGTGAAACATAAATTTCTGTTGTTTATTAGTCACTTAGTTTATGGTGTTTTGTTATAACAGCCATAGTGGACTGAGACAGTGGGCAACATAAAAAGCAAGTGTGCCCTTTATTGTCTACTGTACATTCCAATATTGGGAATCTCACAGTGTGATTCCAACCATTAGATGTTTTTCAAGACTTCCCGTTTCTTCCTAGACATTGTAAGGCTTTCCCCCTTTGCTGGACCATTTCAAAAGTCTTTTCTTAAAATATATAAGAAGCAGGTTTCCTCTAATGTATTGGGAAGAAACAATGCTTAGAAATGACTCATTAAGGAAAATTCTCCCAGAAAGGTAAAGATATATTCTGGATTATGCCTTAGGAGTTGGCTTTCAGTGACCATTGGGAAAATAAGTCACAAGCAATTAAAGCCAATCTTTACTTGTTTGGTGTGTAGTTGAAATATGCCTTTAACTTGATGACTCTGAGAAGCTCAAGCCTTGGATGGAAGAAGTAACTCAGATTGAAAGAGTTGCAGTTTTGATGCAGAATTTTGATCTGAGTTATATATCCTGGCAACAGATCGGGGGAAGGCTGTCCTGTGAACTGATTGTTACATTCAATGGAGACACATTTATGAATGTGTCTTAAAAGACAAATGTAAAATAGCCTTAGTTTTCTACTTAGAAGATGAAGGTCCCAGAGAGAGTAAATACTTTTCGAAGTCACCAAGAAGTTTGCTTAGAATAAAACATGATTCCTGTCCTGTGTTAATCCCCATGAAAATCAGGGAAAATATGCCAGAGGTGATCAATGCTGAGCTGTTAAAATGTGCTCATATACCAGTTCATATTGTTAGGTTGCCTCTGCATGTGCTTTACGTATGACAAAGTAATTTCAGTTCTCAGAACAACCAGTTATGTAGAGGAAACTATACCACAAAGACTGATTAAGTAGAGCATGAGTTCACATTAAGATCTTCTGACTCCAAGTTATAACTGTCACCCCCCCCCCATGTCAACTCAAACAGGGAAGAAAGAGATTATGCCTCTTGTAAAAATAATCATTCTTGCACATAAGCAGTCCGTTGATGAGACACAGCCACTAATTTATTTCTCAAATTATTTTGGTGATATATCTTTTTATAGAACCACTGTTTACAAACCATTTATTAGCATTTATGAATTATAGTTTAAAAACATTAAAGCAGCCCAAGTTGCAAGTTCAACTCAACTGGAAGTAATAGCAATGTTATTTTCTTTTGTTAATACTATAACAGGGAGCAAACATATAATGTGTGAATTCCTCATTCTAAGAAACAGATACAGTGCACAATTACTTCATTTTAAGATTATTTTAAACTTAAATAACAGTATCTGGAGCAATATTTTTTATAGACATTGAAGTCTTGTGAGATATTTAAATTAAAAAGTTGATATGGAAAAATCTTGATGAAAAGTGTTGTTACTTCCTACATTAAAAATTCTTTTTATCTTTTAAATTATACAAATAATAAAGATATATCTTTTTTATTTCTTTATTGTGCTTCGTGGATAATGCTTTTTTAAAAACAAATTGAAAGTTTGTGGCAACCTGAGTATAAAATACATCTATTTATGCCATTTTTTACAACAGCATGTGCTCACTTAAAGTCTCTGTGTCACATTTTTGTATTACTTGCAATATTTCAAACATTATTATTATATCTGTTATGATAATCTGTGATCAGTGATCTTTGATGTTACCATTGTCATGGTTTAGGGGTGCCATGAACAGCGCCCATAAAAGATGGTGAACATATTTAGTAACTGTTGTGTGTCTTCTGACTGCTGTATCCACCAGCTATTCCCCAATCTCTTGCCCTCTCCTTGGGCCTCCCTGTTCCCTGAGATACAACAGTATTGAAATTAGGCCAATTAATAATCCTACAATGACCTCTAAGTACTCAAGTAAAAGGAAAAATTGCATATCACTCACTTTAAATCAAAAGCCAGAAATCAGCTTAGTGAGGAAGGCATGTCAAAAGCCGAGATAAGCCAAGAGTTACGCTTCTTGTGCTAAACGGCCAAGTTGTGAGAGCAAAGGAAAAGTTCTTAAAAAAAACCTGACACTGCTACTCCAGTAAACTCACAAATGATAAGACAGTGAAACAGCCTTATTGCACTGCATGTTCTCACTCATAGGTGGGTGTTGAACAATGAGAACACGTGGACACAGGGAGCAGAGCATCACACACTGGGGCCAGTTGGTTGGGGGCTAGGGGAGGGACAGTGAGGGGTGGGGAGGGATAATGGGAGAAATACCGGATATAGATGAAGGGGGAATGGAGGCAGCAAACCACCTTGCCATGTAAGTACCTATGCAACAACCCTGCGTGATCTGCACATGTACCCCAGAACCTAAAGTACAATAAAAAATAGAAAAAAAAAAAAGAAAGTTCAAGTGGTCTGGATAAAAGATCAAGGCAACCCCAGAATTCTCTAAGTCAAAGCCTAATCCAAAGCAAGACCCTAAGTCTCTTTAATTCAATGAAATCCAAGAAAGGTGAGGAAGTTACAGAAAAGTTTGAAGCTAGCAGAGGTTGGTTATGAGGCTTAAGGAAAGAAGAAACCGTTCTCATAATCTGTAAGGTGAAAGAGCAAGTGCTGATGTAGAAGCTGCAGCAAGCTACCCAGAAGATCTAGCTAAGATCATTCGTGAAGGTGGCTACACCGGAAAACTGATTTTTCATGTAGACAAATCAGTCTTCTATTGGAAGAAGAAAATGCATTCTAGGACTTTCTTGGCTAGAGAGAAGTCAAGGCCTGGCTTCAAAGCTTCCAAAGACTAGCAGCCTCTCTTAGTAGGTGCTAATGCAGCTGGTGACTTTAAGTTGAAGCCAATATTCATTTATCATTTTGAGAATCTATGCTAAATCTACTCTGCCTGTGCTCTATAAATGGAACAATAAAGCCTGGATGGATGACAGCACATCTGTTTACAGCATAGTTTATAAATATTTTAAGCCCATTGCTGAGACCTACTACTGCTCAGAAAATATTCTTTTCAAAATATGACTATTCATTGACAGTGCACCTAGTCACCCATGAGCTCTGATGGAGACATACAAGGAAATGAATGTGATTTTCATGTCTGCTGATACAACACTCATTCTACAGCCCAAGGATCAAGGAGTAATATAGAGTTTCAAGTCTTATTATCTAAGGCATATACTTTGTAAGGTTACGGCTGCCCTAGGGTGTGATTCCTCTGACGGATCTGGGTAAAGTCAATTGAAACCCTTTTGAAAATAAATCACTATTCTAGATTCTATTAAGAAGATTCATGATTCATGGGAGGAGGTAAAAATATAAACATGTGCCTGGGAATTGGATTGGCTATCTCTATCTCTCTATATCTATATCTCTCTGTAGATCTCTCTCTATATATATCTACATATGAACTATATATAATAAAATATACATATCAAATATATATATTTCATATCTCTCTGTGTGTGTGTATATGAAATCTCAACATGAGCAGGAGTTTGGGGGAAGTTGATTCCAAGCCTAATAGATGACTTTGAGGTGTTCAAGACTTCAATGGAGGAAGTTACTGCAGATGCTGTAGAAATAGCAGGAGAACTAGAATTAGAAGTGAAGCCTGAAGATCTGACTGAATGGCTATAATCTCATGATAAAACTTAATGAAAGAGGAGTTTCTTCTTATGGATGTGCAAAGAAAGAGGTTTTATAAGATGGAAATTACTCCTTGTGAAGATGCTATAAACATTGTTAAAATGACAATAAAGGATTTAGAATATTACATAAATGTAATTGATAAAGCAGTGGCAGGCTTGAGAGGATTGACTCCAATTTTGATAGCAGTTCTACTGTGAATAAAATGCTATCAAACAGCATTGTATGCTACAGAGGAATCTTTCATGAAAAGAAAAGTCAATTGACTTGACAAACTTCATTGTTGTCTTCTTTTAAGTAATTGCCACAGCCACTCCAAGCTTCAGCAATCACCACCCTGATTAGTCAGCAGCCTCCATCAAGATCAAGGCAAGACTATCCCCTGGCAAAAAGATTACAATTTTTTGAAGACTCAGATGATCATGAACATTTTTAAACAATAACTTATTTTTAAATTAAGGTATATACTTTTAAAGCCATCATGCTATTACACACTTAATAGACTGCAGTATGGTATAAAGACAACTTTTACATGAACTGGGAAACTGAAAAATTGGTGTGATTTGCCATATTATGGTATTTGCTTTATTGTGCTGACCTGGAACTGAACCCGCAGTATGTCCATATATGAGAAATTTCCTGCTAAAAATTCAAACAATAAGGAGTAATATGGAGGAACACGTGAAAAGGTGAGTTTCTTTGTATGAGTACATGTTATGTCTTATAGACACAGACCCTTGTCTGCTATATATTATGAACATTTTCTGCTGGTCCATCCTCACTCTCTCCTTTCTTTGTGGAGTTTCTTTTTTTAACCATATAGAAGCTATAAGTTTTGGTACAGTACAGTTTATCAGCCTTTCTCTTTATAGATTCGACTTGTTTTCAAATTCCTTTATGCATAGATATTTGATTTTATGTTTGGTGGGGAGAAGAGGTTTAAGTCTTCCCCACTTTAAGATATAGCTGGTTACACCATTTTTAGTAAAGTGTATCATTTCCATCTAGATGTTAAACATCAGCTTTAAGTATTACATTCCTATCTATATGCAGAACCATTTTGGGGCCCTCTAGCTTATTTCACTAATCTGCTTTTGTATATATCAGTGCCAATTATGTTAAACACTCTGTTTTTATTATTGAAGCTTATAGTATTTTTGAATAAATGTTAGTGTAGTTCTTATATTTTTTCTTTTTCAAACATTTTTGGATATTATTATTTTTTCTTCCAGATTAACTTTAGAATCAACTTATTAAGTTACATATGCAACAAAAGTCTTATAGGTATTTTGAATGAGATTACATTAAATACATTAATTTGGAGAAGACCTCTAAGAACAGGTGGGTCTCTCTATTCAAATCTTATTTTATATTTGTCAGTTGCATTTTATTATCTTCCTCAAATGCATTTTGGACATTTTTTTTGAGACAGGGTCTTGTTGTGCTGCCCAGGCTAGAGTGCAGTGGTGCCATCTTGACTCAGTGTAGCCTCTGCCTTGCAGATTAAAGTGATTCTTGCGCCTCAGCCTCCTGAGTAGCTGGGAATGTGGACATGTATCACCACCACACCTGGCTAATTTTTGTTTTTTAAGTAGAGACAGGGTTTTGCCGTGTTGGCCAGGCTGTTCTCAAACTCCTGGCCTCAGGTGATTTAGTAGAGATGGGGTTTTCATCATGTTGGCCAGACTGGTCTCGAACTTCTAGCCTCAAATGATCCACTTGCCTTGGCCTCCCAAAGTGCTGGGATTAAAGGCAAAGTGCCTGGCACATTTTGAATATTTTTGATAAATGTGTTTCTTCATATTTTATATTCCTTTTGCTATTATAAATGGTAGTTTTTTACTTTATTTAAAATGGACTATTACTTGCATATCACGGTGCTATAAATGTTTTTATGCTGATCTTATATCTACCCATGTTACTAAATCCCCTAAAAATTCTATTAGTTTTCAGTTGGTTTCTCTTGATTTTCTGTGTAAGCAATTATATTTCTCTGAAAATAATGACAGCTTTATCATTTTAAAATGATTTATCTCATATACTTAACTAAGAAATTGCTCTGGACAGGTGGTCAGGTATGTGAACTGAATGGTCCTGGCAGAAGTGGAAATCTTTGTTCTGCTCTTGGTATTAATGGAGGTACTTCCAATGTGTTCACGGTGAGTATGATGTTTGTTTTCTCCTTCTAGTAGACATCCTTTATGAATTAAGAACTTGTCCTACTATTCCTAGTTTGATAAGATTTTGTGTTGTGTTGTTTTTAGTCAATAAGAGATACTAAACTTCCTCGGGTAGTCTTGGGCTGCATAATCTATGACTCTTCTTTTAGAATCTGTTCATGTAGTAAATTATATCAATTGATTTATGAAAATTAAATTACCCTTGTATTACTGGGGTAAATGCTACTTTGTCAGTCTATGAGTCTGTGTTTTTAGTGGAAAGGAACAAACCAACTCATGCTAAGTTGGGCAGAAAAGCCTATGAAAAGCTATCAGAGAATTCTTAGAATCTCTGGGAGATCAAAAAATTGGACTTATAGGCTACACAGTCCAGAACAAAGCCTCCCATAATTTTATAGAACTGTTCTAGTGAAGACTCGCTGAAGAAACTGCTGCATACGTACACCACAACCTTTCTTACCTAAGTTGGACTGTGGATAATCTTGTTGGCCTCACCATCTTTGTACTTGGATGTAGCCTTTACCACCAAGTAAACGTATCCTGGGCACTCTCTGCTTCTTGTGCCAGTTGCTTCCAACTTGATGTCTAGGGTGGTGGTGTCTTACAGGCAAAGCCTAGGCCATGTATCTTATTTTAGCTTCAAGGAAACCTTGGAAAGAGGGCATGGACAGCTTCTTTGATGAGCATTCGGGAATTCTCTAAACCAAGGAAATGTCAGATACTAAGTAGCCTGGAAGAATGATTAATGTTCCCAATAATTTTAATATATTATTTTAGAAGTAAACTGCTGGATTCAGTTCACTAATATTTTATTTAGGATTTTTTACATCAATGTTTATGAATAAGGTCACCCATAGTGTTCTATTTTTGAGCAATCTTTATTTACTTTTGATATAAACTTATGCTCTTCTTATAGAATGATATGGGAAAATTTGCATGCTTTCTATGTTCTGAAAGAGTTTATATAACATAGTAATTACTTGCTCTTTATAGGCTTAGTACAACTTGCATATAAAACCATCTGTAACTGGAGGCTATTTTTAGGATAAAGCTCTGACAATTCTTACAATTATTTTTATAATTATTGCTATAATCATGCTTTCCCCCTCTTTCTTGTCCAGTTTGATAATGTATATTTTTAAAAATATTTCAACTATATTTTTAAATTACCTGGTATTGGAAAGTTTGGCATTCTCTTATAGCTTAAGGTGCAATCCCCTGTGCACCTGTAGACATACCTCTTTTTTCATTATGAAGAAAGCTTATTTCTCATTATGGAAGTTGTTCATTTTTTCTATTTTGTTACAGGTTCAAAATTATTCTCTACTTTATGAGACTTTTGATTTGATTGATTGATTTTACTCCTTTATGTTTTCTGTTTCATTCTTTTAAATCTTTATACATTCCTTTTTCTTCTTTCTCTGAAATTATTTTGTTATTGTTTCTCTAGCCTCTTTATTCAGATAATTTATCATTTTAATTCTTAAAATGATAAATTATATCACACAAACAGAAGTATGCAGAAGGATATATCTGTATTCCGCACACAACTTGGACGAGTCCTGATAATTTGCCAAATTTGCTTCATTTATTTAAGAAATAAGATATTTCAGGTATTAAGTCTCTGATGTATCCTTCACTAGAGATGACTACTATTCTAAATTAGGTATTCATCATGTTTTTTAATTTAGTATACTAATGTATGCCCACAAGCAATATAGACTTTATGTAAGGTTTTAAAACTGTGTAATTGGATATCCTTTAGCAAATTGATATTGTTTTTGCTTAATGCATTATGTGTTTAAGATTTATCATAATGTTGATGAGTCTGGGGGAAAATGCTTTATTTGGGATAATACCTAAAAAAGCAGAAGAAGGTGATATGAGCGTTCAGGCACTGCTACAGAGTGCAGGCAGAACTTCAGTTGCCATCATGTTTGGAAATCAACTGCCATCTTTGCCATTTCTTTGTCCTAAGTTCTTTATTAAGTCTATTCAGAATTTTCTTATGGTAGCCAAGTGAAAACCACTTAGATAATGTGATTAGTATTATTAAAATTTGCTTCTTGTTTAGGGGCCATAAATTTTGTAAAGGCTGTTTCTTTTTTAGCTTAAAATTAGGGCACTAAAAATCATTTCAAAAATAGTTGAATTTTCTGAGTGTAGGGATAACTTAAAGTAATACTGGTGAATCTGCTTAACTCTGTTCTTTAGAATATGATGAATACTGAATGTTCATCTACCTCTTTTCTTAGATTTCTTTTTTTCCCCTCTCACATCTGTTGTACTCCATCTTAATTAAATACAGTACAGAATTAAAATATCTAATAGTTTGATGTTCCCAGCTCTAAATTTTAATGCAGAATACTTTTATTTCCTTTTTAGTATAAAAATTTTTTGATGAAGTTTTATTTAGGGCAGAAATGTTAATTTGGAAATGGGGGATATCTCTTCTTCTGATTTAAGGAATTTGAAACTACCATAAAGTCTTGAAATTGCCACTTTACATAGTGTTTCACAGAAGACCCATTCTATAAGGCTGTCCTAAGTTAGATGGTTTGTTTGCATCATGGCATTGAATCTTTCATAAAAGCATTCTACGATGTCTCCACATCAAAATTATATATTATAAGTTAAAGTGTCATGTGCAACTCAGGAGCTTCCTTAAAAAGGAGTGTGTCCTTCCTCACACATCTTCCTTCCTGACGACTGGATGGAAGCAGAGAGTTGGAGCTTGAGTAGCTATCAAGGACCAAGAGGTGGTATTCACGTATTGTGTGCAATGGAGCAACAAGACAAAGGAGCCTGGAGATCATGGAGCTACTATGCTGCCCTGTATATTTTGCTTTCAGGCTTTATGGAGTATTTTTTCTGAAAAAGTAGACACAACTTAAACCTACTTGCTAACCCTATCCTAATGGCAATACTTACCCATGTATCTGCCCTCATGCCCCACTCCCCACTAATGGTATGATCACCATTAATTCTTGCTTTTAGGGAGGGAGTTGAGACAGGGTCAGCTTTGTCATGCAGACTGGAGTACAGTGGTGCATTCTTGGCTCACTGCAACCTCTGCCTCCTGGGCTCAAGTGATCCTCCCTCCTCAGCCTCCTAAGTAGCTGGGACCACAGGCATGCACCACCATCCCTGGCTAATTCTTAACTTTTATTTTGTAGAAACGGGGTTTCACTGTATTCCCAGGCTGGTTTCGACTTCCCGGGCTCAAGAGCTGCACCCACCTTTGCTTTCTGCAGTGTTGGGATTACAGGTGTGAGCCATGCCTGGCAAATCACCATTAGTCCTTCTGATTGAACTTCCAATAGACTTCTCACCACAGTTCACTACCTGCTTCAAAGGCCTCAGAATGGTTGTGCCCTGGCATTGGCTCCTTCCCTAGCAGGAAGTACAAGGGCATTTTGAACAGGATAGGAAGCTTCTCTAATTAATAAGGACAGTTAGTTATTGGTGTCCTGTGTCTACTGGATAGCCTACTTCGAGAAAGTGGGGATGGTGAGGTAGGAGACTTTGTGACTCCTTTGCCTGTACAGTTTTATTTCTGTTGTGATAATAGGCTGTCTGAACTGATATCCTGAGGGCTAACTGATGCCCATGCTTTAGTCTTCAGTTTTACTGAGTCTTCTCATTTCTGATTCCTTGCTTTCTGGCTTCTGAGATTGGGTTTGACTCCCCAGCTTTGGCCAGCCTTTTCATCCCTTAGATTTCTTACCTGCTCCTTATGAAAGGCTAAATGCTTTTCATATTTCAATCTTGATTGAGCCAAATACTCAATGAGTTGCAAACATGGACCATATTATTTAACATCATATAGCCTTTTATCAAAATGCTTTCTTTGACATTATGCCATCTGTTTACATTGATGAATGCAATAATAAATTGCTGTATAAAACATAAGCAAATATATTGTCCCACATCACACATTGACTTTTTAAAGAGAACTCATGGCAGAAATTTCTCTCAAATCTCCATGCCAGAAAAAAAAAAAGAGTTGTATTTGTTCTTAGTAATGGAAATGTTTTTATGCTATGTCTCTGTGACTTCTGTGTCTATTATATTAATATTGATATTAATATATAAATGTTAAGTGTCTATTCCTATTTTCACTTCAATAAATGCAATCAAAATTTGTGGTTTATCTGTAGCTTACCTGTGGTTTTATTTATTTTTTCACTTCAATTTTATAATCTCATTTTTAACCTTTCATGTGTCTATTCAATAAGCTGCCTTAAATTCTTTTTAGGGGAATCTATGATAAAACATATAATCATAATTTGAAGTCTGCATCATTAATTTTCTGCATAAGTGACTCTAAGTTGTATTAAGTGTTGCCTTTACCATCTATGTCCAACATTAAGCTAACTTCTCCATCGTCTGCAGGAATGTTTGAAGCAATTGTGATCTAAGAGATATCAATTATAGATATCAATGTACAAATATTGGAGTCTGCTTATTGAGGTTCCATTGAGTGTAAATTCAATCCTGTGGATCTGGAGAGGATTGTGGGGTATAAGCAGATGGAACCAAGGGACAGAAGCCTGGGGAAAGTGATCAGGTCTGGAGACGTACAGGCAAGACTTTGGAGTTTATACCAAAGGTGATAGCATTAGCAGTCAGCATGGGAGATGTCTAGGGAAAGGTGAAAACAGAAGAGCACAGCTCTAGAGACTGAAGCCTGGGGGACTCTCTCCAGGAAGAGGAGGAGTTTGAAAAGGAGACTGAGACAAAGGGTAGGAGAAAACCAGGGTAGAAGCTGGAGTTCCAAAGGTGCAGGCTTGCTAGTATCAAAAGTAACAACGACATCTTGATCAATGGGTATAAAAACTACGAACTCCTTGGTTTGTTTATTCACTGGTGAATCCTGAAGGTAAGTTTGATAGAATGAGGGAGCAGAATCTAGATGGCAGAAGGTTGGGAAAGAATAGTAGTGGGCAATGAAATGCAACAGAAATCATTCATTCTGATTGCTTGTCAGTGTAAGATGGGCAAGAAATTGGACAGGACCCAGAGGGATGCAGGGTCAAGGGAAGTTTTCCATTTTGTTTATTTGCTTTTGTTTTTCTTTTTCTCCAACTACAGTGAGAATTAATGATTAAACATATGAACTTGGAGAGAAAAATGAGATTCTGAAGCTTGGAATGGAGGGAAATGGTAGAAAAGGATCAGACAGAGAGCCCAGGAAGATGAGAGTTTAGAGGCAGAAGTAGCATCTCTTCTGAAAGAAAAGACAGGAATGAATGGAGGTAAAGACAGACATTTTAATGTAAATAGAAGGTGAGATGAAAGAATATACATGTGATGGGTTAATATCCTCAGGAAAGAAAGAAGCAGAAGGTTTTAAGTAATCATGTGAATAAAGGAGAGAGACGAGTTACTTTTGATATAAACAACCACCGTAGAGTGAGAGGAGTCAAAAAGAGTGACAACAAAAGAAGCCCAAAAGTGTGGAGAAAGTCAGTTCAACAGTTCCAGAAACTCTGATGAAAATGTACCATGTTAAGACATTGTGCTAGGCACAAGATCAGAGAAGATACAGTCCCTTTCATCATGGAAATCACATTTCGTGGGAGAGCAGCTACATGGAACAGAACCAGTTGACAGTAGATAAAAGTGAAATATTAGCATAGTCACAGGATGAGTTTCAACAATGTTTGCCAGACTTAGGATAGGAGGAGAGGATGTTGAGTTGGGGGCTGTGAAGATTCAAGTCTGCTCTTGATCTTATGGTGTATTAAGAATTCTGGGCAGCATTAATCTTGGTGAACATGATAACCAGTCGGGAAAGAAGTACAAATAGTAAGGGAAAGCACTTCTCCTATGTGGAGGGAGTGAAAATGGTGTCAGATGAAGAGGTATCATCTCCAACAGGACCATCAAATTAGACATCTTTCAAGAGATAAGAGGCCCAGAGGTTAAGCCCTGATGGTGGGTCACTGAGACACTGTGGAAGGAAACAGATAAGACAGAAGTTTTGTGAAGATATAATAAGGGCTGCACATGTCATAATGGGGTCTAAACAAATAGGAGGTGTACAGGGCTTGTGGGAAGTTGGTTCCCCACAAATCTGAGAGAAACTAAGACATGAACTCCTACTCACCCATGACAGTTTCTAAATACAGGAGTTCTGATTCTAAAATCGTCTCCATTTATATTGGTTTATCTTTCTAAGACACTTTGTTGCTTCAGAGCTACCTTGCCATGAAGATTCACTACCTTTTCTTTGCTCTTTTATTTCTTGGCCTGCTGTCTACCTCAGGTAAGCCTTTAGTAATAGTAAGGCAATCATCAGAGTGAATGAGAAGCCAGTATGAAACGGCATAAGCAACCATCTATTGCCAGTGTTACTTAGTAGCTGCTCAATGAACATTTGTTGGACAAATTTGTTTAATGGATGAATTAGTTTTTCTTTCTAGTCTAAAAATAGTAGAATTTGAAGAATTCCATGATTCCCTTTCTATTTCATACCAAATTTCTCATCTCAATACTGGGATAGAATCAGGTTATTTCCAAGAAAGAGAATTTAGAGATTATCTCCTCTGCCCTCTCATTTTATAAATAATGATTTTGAGAGCTTGAGTCATGTCCTCTAACTCCTAGTACACCACAAAAATGTTATATCCACTCTCATCTTTCTCTGTCTAATCTAAATAAGTACAAAAAACAAGTTTTGTTGTGAGCCTTAAATGTGCTAATTTATGTCAAGGGATTTTAGGAAGTACTTGACAACTAGTAAGTGCTTAAGAAATGTTAACTAATATTATTATTATTACTATTTTCATTTTTTTTTTTAGTTTATCTTCTTCAGCAATTTCTTCTTTCGGTTCAGAATATCCTCAAGCAGGATGACCCTGGAGAAAAACTGCGATTATTGAAGTTTATCTTTAAAACTATAAAATGATAGGGGCCTGCTAGGGTTAAGAATGGAAAGAAAGGAATGGTGGAGAGAGATAATGTTAGGAAGATGAAAACATTGATGGTATTAAGGAGAGAAAAGGGAGGAGTCAATTATGGCACAGAAGGAGTTTGTGAGGTATTTAGAAAGTTGTGGTGCTGTTAATAGAAATGTGAATTGGGGGAAAGGGAGCTGATTGAGATGAAGCTAGTGAAAATGATTTTAGAAATTGTTGTTACCTTGAAGTGACAGGGAGACATCTAACTGGAAATAATACAGTAGAGATACGAGACGAGGAAGAAGCTTGTGGCTGGTGATAAACGTTGTGGGATCCTTCCAAAAAAAGGATAGCAATAAAGTTATGTGAATAAATTACTACCTCAAGGGCAATTCCCCCGTCTCCTTTCTCTTTCTCTTGGGCCTGTTCTAGACATAGTGGTGATAAGCGTTTGTATTAGTGGAAGACAAGGGCAACACAGAACACATCCACTCTCTTTTCTTCCTTTTTCCTCCATCTCCCTCTTCTTTTGATTTTGTTTGTTGGTTTGTTTCTGAACATACAAGGAAGCTTATAAATTACATACAGTGCATGAGTCTTTTAAAAGCTAAATAATTAGTAAGAAGATTCAGGTAGAGGAAAATAAAAATAGTAATTTGCAAGAGTGATGATGTTGTTTCCCAAAATAGCCCTGGGTGAGGTAACTGAAAGTGGAGGGTAGTGGAAGTCCTTGAGGTGGATTTCAGATAGGAATGGAGGGGCATAAGTTGCCTTCCTGAGAAATTGTGCCTAAGATTTATGCCCCAGTGGCCCTCACCTGCCTGCAATGGCAGAACATCCAGCATGCATAATGTTCAGTACTGATCTTCCAGAAAGCCCAGCATCAGGTTCTCTTGGGATTGTCAACAGACCAAAGGGAGGTCAACTGTTTTTCTGCACCAAGTGAGGTGTGCCTGAAGGCCCTGTCAGTCCTTTCTGAAATATATTTTTAAATCTGATTAAAAACTATTTTGCTACCATGGGCCATTCTCACCAATATTTTCCCTCAAAACTTTATATTTGAAGTCTGTGGTAGAACTTTGTAAATATATTTGCAAGTAAATGTGTCCTTGTTTTTGTTCATCTATATGTTTATTTTTAGGAACTGAAGATGCTTATGAAGTCGTTAGTATCATGGAGTGTAAAAATCAAACACTGTGTAATTCTCAGAATACAACTAGACACTGCTCGGATGGGAAGGAGATTGGACTATGTGTCTTGCGTCTTGGAAAAAATGCAAAGCGACTCACTAACCATAAAGAAATAGCAAATTAGGAAGACAGGATGATCAATTTCCTTGTCTTATTAAAATAAAGCCTGCTTTCTTTTCTCTCTCCTTTTATTCTCTAGTGACACATCTATTTATTGACAGTTTGGACAAAATTTATCAAGAAACTTTTTATGCTTAGGATGAATTATAATGAGAACCAACATTTCTTTAGTTCCAGCAGATGAGAGAATACATACTTGAGAAACCAAAAGAATAGCTACCCCATTTGGGTTGTAGGGGAAGGTTTTGGGAAGTGTGAAGTAGGGGAGGGAAGGATCTGAGGGGACAACTATAGTGTGAGGTACAATGACAAGGGCAGATGTCAAAAGAGGTTATCAGGTTTTACTGTAGATTTCACTGGTTTGCAGAAGATTTTGGCAAAGACAATGAGCTTTTAAATTTTTGTTTTTTGTTAAAATCTTTGATTATTTTAGCACTTGCATTACTAAAGTGAATCCTTTCTCCAGCTTTACAAGCCACATACACTCTACCAGGCCAGACCTGAAAAGGCAGGAAAGTAATTCTTGAAGCCTGGGACTCCTTTCCACTGTTCCTAGTGTCTATGATGCTGATGAGACCTGCAGCCCAGCACCTTGTCCTCCCCAGTTCCCTGATTCCACTATGCTAGCTTCCCTCTGAAACCACTGTTAAATTTTTAGGAAAATACAAGATGATGGAACAATTCTAATTTGGGTAGAAGAGACCGCCTACCCATGAAGTAATATCTTCATTTTATTATTTTCTTCTTTTTTTTTTTTCTTTTGAGACAGAGTGTCCCTTTGTCACCCAGGCTGGAGTACAGTGGCACAACCTCAGTTTATTGCAACCTCCACCTCCCAGGTTCAAGCAATTCTTCTGCCTCAGCCTCTGGAGTAGCTGGGATTACAGGCTCCCGCCACCACACCCGGCTACTTTTTGTATTTTTTAGTAGAGACCGGGTGTCATCATCTTGGCCAGGCTGATCTCAAACTCCTGGCCTCAAGTGATCCACCCTCCTCAGCTTCCCAAAGTGCTGGGATTACAGGCGTGAGCCACCGCTCCTGGCCTGCATTTAAAATAGGAAGCTTATTGCTAGTAGGTGAATTTCAGATTACATAACTAAATAATTTCAGGCAAATATACAAGATCAGTGAGGATTCTGGCTGGAAGCTGATGAGATATTGGAAGAAATTCACAATATAAAGGCAGGGCTCTGGCACTGAAGGAGGGGTCTGGAAGCACCGGGCCAGGAGCAACGAAGGAAGACTTCAACTGACCCCTCAGCCTGAAGGCCCATGCCGGGAACATCAGCAAGGAGAACACAAGAGAATGCGAGGGAAAAACACAGCAAGTCAAAAACAATGGTTTGTCTTTCATCATTAGGAGGATGGAAGAACAGCAGTAAGGCTTATCAACGGAAATACTCATACTGATGAGCATAGAGGAAGAGGTTTTATTTGCCCTTGTAAGAATTGGTGGCAGCTGCAGGCCCTGCCTTTGGGGTCGAGGTGATCAGCTAGAAGGACTTCGTCTTTTCCCTGGGTCCCGCCCCTCCCCAGGTGAACTGGGCTCCTTTGTGATGCTGATGAAAACGCCTACGTGGGGAGTATGACAATGATTCCCTCCCACCCCTCACCCCAGACCTTTCCACCCCAAGCTAGGCGGCTTCCCGCTTCCCATCTTGGGATCCAACCCCAGGAGGTCGCCTGGCTCGAAGCAGTGGAGGAAGCGGTCCGGGCGCAGCCAGGTGCAGGGCGCGGCCTCCGCGGCGCTGCTCGTGGCCCTGGTCTGCTAGCGCACACTCTCCGGGACGGAGGTAACCCACGCCGGGGAGGTCCATCTCCCAGGTGGCCATCCTACTTCCCACAAAGCCCTCCCTGTTCTTTGGATCGGGAAATTATAGCCCCAGTCCCCATACCCAACGTCCTGTGTGCTTTTTAAAAGATCCGTTAAAGACGTAAAATGTACTGTTGATGCTTCTCATGCTATAAATGCATAATTTTCTGTTTCTGTACCCAGTAACCTTTCCGCTCACAGATACCTGAGGCTGGCTTCCCTAGTTTTCCAATTGGCCTCCCGGCCTCAGGCTCGCTCTCAAATTCATTCTCCATTCTTCCACTAGAGAGATGAGGAAAGGGAAGAGGGGAGGGTGAGAAGAAGCGGGAGGAGAGATGATTCTGTGGCTTATCCATTTGTATGTGTGCGGAGGGGGAGACTGAATTTTAATCCATGTGTTTACAGATATGTGAACCCAAGCAAATAAATGAAAATCAGTAACAACAGCAATGGCAAAAACAACTAGGAAAGACGATTATCATAACACCTGCAGTGCTAGCTTAATTGCCTATGTTGAGATAGGTACTATTAGTATCACCTGTGTACGGATGCAGAATCTGTGGCACCTGAGAGATTGAATAACCTTGGGATCATGCAGGTTGTAAAGGGTGATGCTGGGATTCAGATCCAAGTACTTACCCATTGTCCAAAGAAAGCAACCAGAAACAATTGTATAATTTGAAGATACAAACTTGAGGCAACCTATCAAGACAAATGCTGGGACAGGCTCATAGCAGGCAGTATCAACAAGCTTGATTGAGTAAAAATTGGGAGTTCTTTAATTTCTGCAGAAGTATATGTGTTGGCTTTTAAGTGAAGTGGTAGTGCTACCAGAAAGAGGTCCTGATCCTGACCCCTTTCCACTTCTTGGATCTCACTCAAGAAAGAATTTGGGATGAATCCATAAAGTGAAAGCAAGTTTATTAAGAGAGTAAAGAAGTAAAATAATGGCTACTTCATAGCCATAGCAGCACTGAGGGCTGCTGGTTGGCTATTTTTATGGTTATTTCTTGACTATATTTAAATAAGGCATGTATTATTCACGAATTTTCTGGTAAAGGGATGGGCAATTCCTAGAACTTAGGGTCTGTCTCCTTTTTAGACCTGATAGGATAACTTTTGAACATTGCCATGGCATTTGTAAACTGTCATTGCACTGGTGGGAGTGTCATTTAGCTAATGCCATATAATTAGCATATGATAAGCAGTGAGGATGACCAGAGGTCACCATCTTGATTTTGGTGGATTTTGATTGGCTTCTTTACTGCATCCAGTTTTACCAGTAGGGTCTATGAGATTTGTATCTTGTGATACTAGTCCTGCTGACCTCCTGTTTCATCCTGTAGCTAAGAATACCTAACCTCCTGGGAATGCTGCCCAGTGGGTCTCAGCCTTATTTTACTCAGCCCCTATCAGAGATGGAGTTGTTCTGGGTCAAATGCCTCTGGCAGTAGGGAGCAGGAAATAACAGGAATTGAAAGTAATATACAGAACAGGAACCAATTTTAAAACACAGTCCCTATTTACAAATATGCTTCCAGTTTATAATATCTCCAATGGACTCAGTTAAAAATACAGATATATTATGAGAGACTGCAATTATTTTAAGAAAAATATGTACATTAATATCAGAAAAACATCAGTTGAAATGAATCTGGATCTAGCCACATTAAGATAAGACAACGATACCAAAAGGCTTTGAGCCTAATCATGATACAATCAGTAGTGTAATGCTTTATTCTTGGGGTTAACACACTAGAAGATAGAGTGCATATCAATATATTTACCTGTGAATTTATAGTAATTGGTTGACCAAAAAATATGTTAGGCAATGCTTGCTTATTTTTCAAGGTATGTTAATAAAATGAATTTGAAATTCCCATCTTAAAAAGCAAACAAACAAAAAATATCGCCATTATCGAGTTCCCATCACCCTGAGCTGCATCCTGGAAATCCCTGCCAGCTGAAAGATATCTGAGAGGCTATACCAGAACTAATCAGCTAAGCAGTCTTGGGACCTCCCCAGCCACAGCCAAAGAAACAGATATTGGAATCTTTGCTCTTTGAAAATGTTTGCTTTCTGAAAACAAGTAGCTATACTTTGGTTTCAACTTAATTTAGCAAGTTTACTGGATATTTACTATATTTTTTGCATGGTCTCAGTTTAAACACAAATCTGTATTTGGGAGTCTCTTGGTCTCATTTATGTAGCAACACCATTTATGCTTCCATAATATAAATTATTTCATATAGTTGCCTGAGATAATGGGATAATGTTTTATCAACCAAATTGACAAAGATCATATTTAGTGCTGGTGATGGGAAGGAAAATAGGCAAAACCTTTCTAAAAAGCTGTCAGTATGAATCAGGAAACTTTAAATGCTCTTAATTTTTTTCCACCATCTAAATAGATTTAATTAGTAAAAAATAACCTTTTTTAGTCACATGGTCTCATGTAGCATCATGGCTACAATGGTAGTGCAAGTCCTGGGACAAAGAACTTTGAAAGGCTCTAGTGGTAGCCATGGGAACAGTTCTTTAAAAGGTACAATTTTATTAGTAAAGATGTCACCTGTATTATAAACAACTCAATTCTTTTTAGTAACTAGGCAGAAGAGATGCAGTGATATAGATAAGCCATATAAGCTATATCAGTATGTATACATATTGCATATGTTATAAACCTAACAATTCCACTGCTAGTATTATACATGAAGTAATTAGAAATGTGAAAGAGATTAAGGTATATTTATTGCATTTTTTCCCTTTTAGTTGAAATTCTCTTTTGTATGACCATATATGTTAGAGTTACTCACTCTTCTCATTCTCTACTTTTTCACAAACCCCCTTCATCTTGCCTATAACTTCAGTTATTTTCTGCCTATAGTGATTTGCAAATTTACCTCTCCTCTCGCAGCACAGCCAACTAACTAAATTGACACTTACTACTTGGATGTCTCAAAGACATTTCGAATTCAGTAGCCCAAAATCGAACTTAGGTTTTTCTATCTGGTCTCCTTCCAAGTTCCTATGAGGAAACAAGGTTATTTCTATACTAAAGATACTCAGTGACCTCCCACATCTCTTAAAATAAGGCTCTGACATTGTAATTATAAGGGTGAATATTAAATTCCAGAAATTAGTAGGACCAAACCAGGTAATTTGTTAAACAGCTTCCTTTTTCCTTCAATTTTAGGTTGTTGAATATTATACTAAACTGCTGGACATACTAAACTAAGTAGGAATACACCTGATA